CCACAGGATTCGATCTCTGTCAGGCTTCATCAGATCTCTCACGGACCCATGGGTGGTCCTGGCTGATTGGAACATCCCAGCGGACAGCATGGAACGCGCTGAGCTACCTGGCAAGCTAGGAGGAGTGGTGCTACGACCAGATGTTGGCATCACATGTGACAAAGGCAAGGGAAGCCTCATTGACTACGGCATAGCAAGAGTGGACTTCGCCCCTAGACTCAAGCTGTACGTTCAAGGTCGCGTGCCATGGCGTACGCATTGTGGGCTCCAGCTAACGATCAAGGGCACCAAGGAAAGCTGGTGGCATAGGAAGCTAGTTATCCCTAAGGCGCTCCCATACCAGGCGAGACCTCAGAAGGCGGCGGACCCTGACTCCAAGACGAGCAAGAGGAAGCAGGAAGCGCAGCGACGTCGGCAGCAGGCCCTGGAGGAGCACTTGCAGGAGGCGTACGAGGATGCGATGATACTCGAGCAGCATGTCCCCGACAGCCAGGGCGCACCAGTGCGGAAGATGCCCTACTGCGTCTCGGAGGAGCTCTGGGAGCAGATTGGGATCGTGGAGCACGAGATGGAGCTGTCGGAGGAAATGCACATCATAGGGGAGAAGATGATCACCAGAGGCACGAAGCACCAGAAGGATGAGTACCAGTTGACGCAGCAGTATGGACGGTGGGTCGCCAAGGTGGAGGAGGCGTTCATCAGGCACGAGCAGCTGGACGAGCAGGAGGCGCAGGGCTGCCAGGGGCGCGCAGCTGGCTTTGATATACGATGGGTGCGAGCAAAACCCACGCCAGGCAGAACTCACATGCGGTATGGCCCTGCGGAAGAATGGAGTATACTGGCAGCAGATTTGGTCAGATATCAGTCACTATTTGCGAACGGCACCGACGGACAGCAGCAGAGAATGTGCGTGACACGCGTACAGAAGCAGCTTGGAGTACTGAGAGGATTGCCGCGGAAGGACGCCTTCAGCAAGAATGTGACTGAGGCCAGCAGAGAGATGTATTTCGACATGGCATCCGACATATGGCAGATGGACGAGGGGCAGCTAGCGAATCTGGTGGCCCAGACAGAGAAGCACTTGGCGGTGGCGTCGTCCAGATCCATGACCACGGCTCGGAAGAACTTCGCCACCTGGGCAAAAAAGGTATGGCAGACCAAGGCGGGCATCCTGCACAGGCATGTCAAGCCCAAGGACGCGCCCCGTTATGAGATGGCCATCAGAGACGACTTCGCCACAGCCGACCCCACCATCATCATGAACACTAAGGCAGGGAAGTGGGAGACCATCTGGACGGACCCCGTGGACAGTCGAGCTGACATCATTGAGCAGTTGGAGCGCACCAAGCGAAGAGCGTGGGAGGAAGACCTAGACCCCATAGACATGGACATGCTCAATAGTGCGCTCCGAGCAACATCGGCATCCAAAGCGAAAGGTCTGGATCAGCTTGGCCCCACGGATATTGACAGACTTCCTGGCCAGGCTAAGCAAGAATTGCTGGAAATATTGCGGAGAAGTGAAAGAACGTTGACATGGCCAAGACAGATATCAGCCACCAAGTGTGCTATGGTGGCCAAGCCTGGGCCAGGTGCAGGAGATCGAGTATTGGGTATGTTGCCGTTACCAGTGAAGTTATGGTCGAGAGCGAGAGGCGGAGCATGTGCCTTGTGGAGTGCTGGGCTATCAGACCACTGGGACACTGCGATCAAGGGGAGCTCGGCGCTCAGGGCAGGACTCCTTCGGTCGATCCTGGACGAGACAGGCATCGAGGTCGGCGCCTCGGCCATGACATTGCAGCTGGATATAGAAAAGTTCTACGACACGGTCTCGCTGGTCATCTTGCTGCAGATTGCGTGTACGGCAGGATTCCCTGCGGTGGCAGTTTGATTGGAAGCGATGATCTTTCTTGGACCCAGATATTTGCAGGAGCGTTCGGTCATCAGCGAGGCCATATGGCCTACCAGATCGCTGGTGGCAGGATCAGCTAGAGGAGTAACTCTAGCGAAGCTTTTTCTTCATCCAGTGCTTGAGATGGCGCATCGAAGACACCCAGCAGCAGGATTGTGGACGTTCGTGGACGACACGGTAGCAAGATGCGAGGGCAGTTCACACACGGTGGCGGAGCAGCTACTGGAGGTGTCGACGGATATATGCACTGGATTGGTGGAACAACGTATGACTATATCGAATAAAACCACGGTGATAGGCTCAGACTTGAAGGAGGCTCGGAAGACAGCCAAGCGGTTACGAATACGTGGCATACCTGCGAAGGCCAGCGGCGTGGCGACGGACCTGGGCCTGGACACAGCAGCAGGACGTAAGAGGGTAACAGCAAAGAGCAAGCAGCGGCAGCTCAAGGCGAGGATGAGGTTCGCGAAGATCGTGAAGCTGAGGAAGATCGCTGCGCTGAAGCACGAGTCCAAGGGCCTTTATAACGTGGGCGCACTGCCGCAGGCGATCTATGGGCAGCAGACGTACGGCATGTCCAAGCAGGCGATCACCGTGCTGAGAAGGCAGGCGGGCAAAGTGGCAGGAGGCAGTGCAGGAGGTCGATGTCTGACAACCACGCTGGGCATGGAGTTAGGCATGAGAGACCCCGCAGTTGATCTCAGACTGGGTGTGGTGCGAGAATGGATAGGCCTGTGGCAGAGGTTTCCCCACATCCATCGACGAGTTGCGAAAGCATGGCCGTCCATCAAGGCGCGGCTCCACAGATATGGCGACAAGAGATGGCGAGCAGTACGGGGCCCTACGGGAGCTCTGATGGCAACGCTAATGGATGCTGGATGGACACCCTCGACAGCAACTCAATGGCATCGACCTGGACCTGAAGAGCTGGAGATGTGGGAGCTGCCGACCTCCGAGGACGGCAAGTTCGTGGCCACGGGCTGCTTCCAGGAGCTCCTGGACGACCTGGAGGGCGACCTACGCAGGGACCTCTGGACGGAGGCGGCCAAGCACGAGTTTGGTGACAACTTGCAGGAGGGCGGAGACTTGTGGCCCATTGTAATGGAGCAGCGCAGGTTCGAGCGAAAGGGGATGCTGGAGCAGCTGGCGCTCAACGTGACGGTGGTCGCTGGCGGCCAGTGGCCGAGAGTTCGCTGCAGGGAAAAAGGATACGAAGTTTCAGTCGAATGCCCGAGATGTAAGCAAGCCCCTGAGAGCTTGAAGCACAGAATATGGGAATGTTCCAGGAACACTGATCATAGCGATTATAGCAAAACTGAGCCTTTGGTTGTAGCGGCTTTAGCACAAGCAGAAGCGGAGCCAGCTTTATGGCTCCGTGGTCTTCCCCCTACTCGCCTCACTCACCCCCTCTTTGACGATGGGCGGCTGGAGAGTCGGGAGCTTAGGCTGGGCGGGGAGGGGGACTTTGAGGCCTCTCGAGGTAGCGACGGGGTTTTAAAGGTTTACGGCGACGGCTCGGGGGGGCGTTTTTTCTGACGACCCCAGACGGAGGAGATGTGGCTCTGCGATCTGCTCCCTGAGGTGGTCCCAGGGAGAATGGATTGTCCAGGCGGCGTTGGCCCGCCCCCTGCTCGGAGCCCGCCAAACCGTCCCGCGCTCTGAGATCCAGGCGTTTTGTTTAGCTTTGGAAGAGATCCCTGGGCCGTTCGTTTTCGTCACTGATCATTTGTCGGTCGCTAAGAAGTGGCGTTTTAAAATGGAGAACCCGAGCCCGACTGGGGCTAACGAAGATTTGTGGACCAGGGCCCGAGTGTCCTGGAGATCTAGGCCAGAGACCGCCACTGTCGAAGTGCAGTGGACACCCTCTCACACGGATGAATCCCCAGAGCTGCTGACTACCGAGCTGCAGTTAGAGACTGCGGTGGGTAATGCGGTAGCTGATATATGGGCGGGAGAGGGTGCGGAGCTGGCTTGGGAGTTCGGTTTGGTTGGGGAGAACCCGCAGACAGATAGAATTGATGTCATTGCCAGTTTAGTGCGTCGGCGCGCGAGACGAGCGTTGGCCGACTCAGCGGGTGCAGAAGTCCAAGCGAAGAATGGAAGGCAGGAGGTTACGAAGCGACCCCCAGCCAACAAGTGTGCTGTAGCAGTTCGAGAGTCGGCCCACCGCCTTGAGAAGTCGGGCACGGGTTGGAGGTGTGCGGTGTGCGATCAGGTGGTGCCAGGCTCTCGACTGCTCACGTTCTCGGCCACCCCTTGCGCTGGCAGGGCCATCCCAGAGGGACAGCTGCCCCCAGAGGTGATTCAGGCCCCCAGGAGCTTCGTGGCGGGGGCCTTTGAGTTTCACGAAACTCATGCGATGTTTTATGTGGACAAGTGGTTCATGCATGCCTGTAGCAAGTGTGGTCGTTATGCCACGGTCGACGGTAGGCATATCAGCAAGCGTTGCGAGGGATTGACCCCCAAGGGGACCGAGAACCTCGCTCGAATTCGGAAGGGTATATATCCCAGGAGGGAGGGGCCCCCTCAAGCCGTAGTGGAGGCTATGGCGGCGCGTGGTCGTGAGAGGGTGGTGTCGTCTCACGTCGGTCGTTCGTGCGAAGGAGAAGCGCCAGGGGTCCCCCCCCTCGCCCCTCCCCCACCGCCCGTCCCAGCGGAGGCTAGGCCTGCCGCCCAGGTGAGTGCAGCACAGCTTCGAAGTGCTCAGGCTCGACGACGGGAGCCGCCCCGCGTTTTTGGGACGGTGGGAGGAGGGGGCGATTCAGGCAGTTCTGACTAACCCCTGAGGAGGGTAATTTTGTGGAGGACAGAGGTCCGCTCTCATAGCATTCCCATAGCATTCCTCCTCCTCCTCCTCCTCCTCCCGTGGTTGTGTTCGGAAGCTTTTACGGCAGATGTGCGTGGCGTTAACGCGAGAGTTGCATTTTGAAGCTTGCCTTCTATCCTCGCGTAGCTTGCAGACCTTAAGGGCGGATTTGCGCGGCGCCGAGGCGGGAGCCACGCGTTGAGAAGGATGATCCTTCCATCCGTGTGACTGTCGGAAGCTTTCAGTGAAGACGAATGTGCGCGGTGCCAGGGCGAGAACAAACATTTGGAACAGGGTATGTCACGATTCGCGTATCCTCACCAGCCCATCCAGAAACGACGCCCAGGCGAGTAGCCTTGATCGGGACAGTGCAGGAGCATGCCCCCGAACACGCTTTGAATCAGCCTGGCCCGACCCAGGACGAGGAGGACGAGGAGGACGAAAGCGAGAAGGATAACTAAGAGGAGGACGAGGAGGACGAGAAGGCAGAGGAGGGCGAGGAGGAAAAGGACGAACACGAGAAGGAGGAAACAGAGGAGGTGAAGGAGGAGGAGGAGGAGGAGGAGGAGGAGGAGGAGGAGGAGGAGGAGGAAGAAGGCTGGCAGCCGTCTCGGGGTGCTTCGCCCTGGGGGGCCGCTGTGAGCCCCAGGGTGTTTGTTCCCTGGGGCGCGCCCAGGAACGCGCCCTGGGCGGCGCCCCGGGGAATGCCTTGGGAGGCGCCTTGGGAGGCGCCCTGGGGAATCGACTTGGGCAACGCCCTGGGAAGCGCGCTGGGGAGGCGCCCTTGGGAGGCGCCCTTGGGAGGCGCCCTGGGGGGCGCCCTGGGGGGCGCCCTGGGAGGCGCCCTTAGAGGAGTGCTCTGGGAGGCGCCCTGGGGTACGCCGCGGGAGGCGCCCTGGGCGGCGCCCTGGGGAATCGGCTCGGTGAACTTCCCTGGGAGGCGCGCAGGGGAACGCCCTGGGGGGGCGCCCTAGGATGCGCCTCGTGGAGGCGCCCTGGGGAGGCGCCCCGGGAGGCGCCTCGAGGAGCGCCCTGCGAGGCGCCAGGGGGGGGAGCCCTGGGAAACGCCCTGGGGAACGCTCTGGAAGGCGCCCTGGGGAACATTTCGGGGGGGGCCTGGGGAGAGCGCTGGGGAGAGCGCTGCGGGGGACGCCGGGAGGGGGGCGCTGGAGGGCGCCCCGGGAGGGAGCCCTGGGAAGCGCATGGGCGGGCGCCCTGAGGATGGGGGGCGCTGGGAAGCGCCCTGGCGGGCGCCCTCAAGGGAGCGCTGGGGTGCGCCCTGGAAGGACCGCTGGGAGGCGCGTTGACAGTTTTGCTCCTCTCGCTCCGCCTCGCAGTCTCGGCGGGTCGCGGCACTCGGCCCTCGTGGGCCATGCCGCTCCGGCCGCCTCTCTCCCCACCTCCTCCTCTGATGCGGATGGTGGCCTCTAGGGAGCCTCCTGGGGGGCCGCTTGGAGGCCGCTTTGGGGCCCCTTTGGGGCCTCCCTCTTGGGGCCTCGTGGAGCCTCTTCGGCGCCCCATGTGGCACTCTAGGGGCTCTCTTGGGAGCGTTTCGGGCCGCCTTGGGGACATGTTGGAGGCGACCAATCAGAGCAGGGGGGTCCTCAATTAGACCCTCCCCCAACAGGCCAACATTGGCACAGCTAAGTAACATCCATGTGCTTTGCCTTCTCGCCGGGGCCATCTTGGACGGTCCCAAGCTCCTGGTCTGTTTCGGAGTCTTGGGTCTTCTGATATTCTTCAAGGTCACCAGGGCCTCTATGTGAGCCCAGGATGTTTTGACCAAGACCACTGCCATTACCGCCTGGCCAGCATTGCTGCTCCCAGAACTATGAGCGCTTCCGTCCTCCTGTCCTGCGATTGCCACGTCTCCTCCTCCTCGTCCTTTTTTCCCCAACCATCTTGTGGTGTTGGGTCCTCGTTTTGAAGAGACAGCGCCCCGCGCTCACTCCTCCCGCTGCCCCCTCCCTCCTCCTCTCATCATCATCATCATCATCATCATCATCATCATCATCATCATCATCATCATCATCATCATCATCATCATCATCATCATCATCATCATCATCATCATTAGCATTATCATTATCATTATCATTGTCATTGTCATTGTCATTATCATTATCATTATCATTATCATTATCATTATCATTATCATTATCAGTATCAGTATCAGTATCATTATCATTATCATTATCATTATCATTATCATTATCATTATCATTATCATTATCATTATCATTATCATTATCATTATCATTATCATTAGTAGTATCATTATCATCATCATCACCACCATCATCATCATTATCCTTATCATCATCGCCATCATTGTCATCATCGGTATCGTCATCATCATCGTCATCGTCACCATCATCGTCGTCATCATTATCGTCGTCATCGTCGTCGCCACCATCGCCATCATCGTCATCATCACCAGCATCCCCATCATCATCTCATTGCCTCTACCCTCCGCATGTCTCTGTTTCGGCACACCCAGCACAGTGGTTCCTGACCCCATAAGGAGCTCCACCGAAGGCCCCAGTGGCAAGGTTCGCATGGCGGCCTCAGGCCATTTCGGCACACCCATCACGAGGATCGTGGCCCCATAGGAGCTCCACCAAAGGCGCCTGTGGCAGGGTTCGCATGGCGGCCTCGGGTCATATGGGCACACCTTTCACGAGGATCGTGGCCCCGTAGGAGTTCCACCGAAGGCGCCAGTGGCAGGGTTCGCATGGCGACCTCTGGCCATTTGGGCAAACCTCTCACGAAGATCGTGGCCCCATAGGAGCTCCACCGAAGGCGCCAGTGGCAGGGTTCGCATGGCGGCCTCGGGCCATTTCGGTACACTCCTCACGAGGATCGTGGCCCCATAGGAGCTCTACCGAAGGCGCCAGTGGAGGGTTCGCATGGCGGCCTCGGGCCATTTCGGCACACTCCTCACGAGGATCGTGGCACCATATGGGAACTCCGCCGAATGCCCCAATGGCAGGGTTCGCATGGCGGCCTCGGGCTATTTCGGCACACCCCTCACGAGGATCGTGGCCCCGTAGGAGCTCCTCCGAAGGCGCCAGTGGCAAGTTTCGCATGGCGGCCCCGCCCCATTTGGGCACACCCTTCTCGAGGATCGTGGCCCCATAGGGAGCTCCACCGAAGGCGCCAGTGGCAGGGTTCGCATGGCGGACGACCCGCGCGCGTCGCTGGGACCCTCTCGGGGCGACCAGCGCGCGTCGCGGGAACTCCATGTTGCGCTTTGCCCAGCGCCTCGCTTGCCCCCGTCGTCGGTCTGCCCAGCGGCCAGAGCTTTGCTCGCTATCAGCCAGCCAGTTAGCTCTCTCTGCTCCGCGCAGCGGACCCGCGCGCGTCGCCAGGACCCCTTCGGGGCGACTGGCGTGCGTCGCGGGGACTCCGTGCGGCGCCGCACCCGCAGCCTTGGACATTGGCGTCCACGGGCAAAGAGGGAGAAAAAAAACAGGAAGGAAGCGGGCGCGACCCTTGTGAGGGGCGTGCCGACATGGGCGTCGACATTCATGCACGTAGACTCACGCGCGCGCAGACTCATTCACAATTGTACTCACTCAAGCTCAGACTCACCCGCTCTCAGTCTCTCGCACCCAAACCCATCGTCATCGCTCGCGTTGTGTACCCCGCTAAGGATTCCGGCACGCCCCTCACACGGTTCGTGGTCACATGGGGGGCGCGGGCGAAGATGGTATTCACAGTTGCGGTATTCACAACTGCATATGTTTACTTTTTCGCCAGGCTAATTCCCTCCTCCCGCTGCTGGCCCTCGCACCATATTGAGTTTCGTTTATTTTAATCCGTTACACCTTCCTTCTCAATCTGCTGGTGATGTGATGCTGCTGCTGATGGGTCTGCTGCTGATGCTGTCCTGTTGGTCATCCCCTGCTCGTCCTGCTCCTCGTGTTGGTTCCCATGCTCGATCGTTTCCGCTCGTGATATTGCTCGTGCTCGTCTGCCCTGTCTTCTTGGTGGTTTCACCGTCGATGCCACCCCAGACTGCTTTTCGCATGAGCTTTTCGATCCAATGCGTCGCCAGTCTTCAACCTGATTTTTCGCCAAGCAGGCGTATCCAGCGGAGTGCTTGCCCTTTCCTTGATGGGCTGCTGGGTGAGCACCGGCCGCGGTCAATGCGCGCGGAGGTGTGCACTTGGTTCCTGTGCCTGTGTTCTCTGTGTTGACGGCTCCTCTGCACCCAGCTCTTGCGCCCGTGCATCCTGTGTTTTTGATTCATGTGCCTATTCCGAATCGGTCGATCCGTGTGGAGGGATGTATCGCGTGGGGGATAGGAACGGATTGTCCTTCGCGGGGCGTAAGGGTTCATCACCGTGATTCCTGTTGGGGGGCTCGGGGATTGGGAGTGGTAGATCGCCTGCGAGACCAAACGATGTGGTGTGTACATCGAGTCTCTTCGACGGCCTCGGCCGTTTCCAGCTCCCGTGTCTGAGCGCGTCGAGCGACATCTGCGCCAGCCCAGCGCCAGAGCCTACGGCAGCAGCCGATTTTCGCCCGGGCGGTGCCCGCGGCCGCCTCGTGGCCGCCCTATGCGCGGGCTGTGCTCTTTGGGTTTCCGCCAAGTCGCCGCGCTTGGCAACCTCGTGGCCTTCTCGTGTCCGCCTCGTGCGCGGGATGGGTTCCCCTGGTTTTCGCCCCGTCGCCGACCGCCTTGCGGCCGCCTGACGGCACACTGCTGCTACTGCAGCTTCTATCACCACATGGTTTACACCGCATGCGTTGCACTCCGTAGTTCGCCACCTGGCCTGCACCGAACAGCTTGCACCATCGACTGACGAGACACACTGTAGATTGCACTACGTATGCTGCTTCCCATATAGTGTTCAGCATGTAGTGCATATTGAACGTGCAAAACCCACTGTCTGGGGTCAATGTTGGCAAGCATGCATTCGCATGTTAGCTGTAACTATTGTGATTGTTTTAGCTCTTATATTTAACTTTAACTTTCAGTGGAGGCGTTGTTTTGATTTTACCATCTTCAGTCGTGTATAGGTTTGTCTAGTTCAGTTGCGTGAGCTTTGCTTAGCTGCACTTCTGTACACCAGCTTCCCAACACATGTCAAGTCGTCACGTTTCAGTTCCGCGTTGGCGTTAGTTCATGTTTTAGTTTGAGCTTGAGCTTCAGCTGCTGCTATTTTGTCATGCTCATCAGGTAGTGGTCACCTCTATCAGTGTTGGTTTAGTTGTTTCCACTTGGTGACTGCGCTTTACATCAGGCACCAATCGTTGCGTGTGGCTTAGATGGGGTTTTTGGAAGTTTTATAGGCTCGCAGGTTTGAATCGCTGCCTTGTAGTGTGACGTTCAATGCTGTTACAGCCTCATCCAAGCTTAAATATAGCTCGGTGCAGAGAAGTGTGAAGTGCCGGCTTGGAATTAACGTTGGCTTAGTTGACTTTGGCAAGGTTGGCTTAACGGACATGGGCTTCGCATTGGCTTGGGTTCAGGTTGGCTTAGAGGACATGAGCTTGCTTACCATGGTTCAGCATTGTGATCCGACTTGGTAGATCCGAGATATGTGTATGGGCTTCAACTTGACTCGACACCTGTCATTCATTGTTTGTGTGCCTATGTGTTCCCCTTCCGTACATTCCGTTTTGGAGGCCACATTTGGTAAGGATCGTGCACCTTGCGCTTCCCATTTGGGATAGATAAAGCAGCATAATCGGCGGGGAACTCTCTCTCTCTCTCTTTTTTTGTCTTCCTCTTTCTCTCTCTCTCTCATTTTTTTTCTCTCTGTCTCTCTCTCTGTAATTGTGCAGGAGAACAGTTCCGACGAGCTGCGCAATGTCAAGGTGAGCTTTTGCAAAGATGAGAGTGAATTAGTGAATTTGGCAGTTCCAGCGGCAATGCTATGTTTCAGACGGTGGGCGCACACTACGTGCATGATGTGCAGTCCCGCTGTGCGCATGGTAGTGTTACTGAAGTGCCTATCGTGGTATCCCTCGAGGTTCGCCGGAGTATTTGCTTACCTATGAACTAGCATAGGATTAGCAGGAGGAGGAGGAGGAGGAGGGAGGGAGGGAGGGAGGGAGGGAGGGAGGGAGGGAGTAAAGCACTGGAGCACGAACTCTGCAGGAGGACGAGCTCGGAAAGATTGGAGTCTCCAAGGTTGAGGCGAAGGCCAGCCTCGACGCCCCCAAGAGCATCTCGTCGGCGAACATAGGCAACGTTCAGCACATGGAGATTGCCGCTGCATCACGCTGCTGCTCCTCCTCCTCCTCCTCCTCCTCCCCCTCCTCCTCCTCCTCCCCCTCCTCCTCCTCCTCCTCCTCCAAAGGGGAGCAAGGCTGTGTTCACGCGAATTGCGCATGCAAGTTTATTGGTACTCTGCGGCTTGTGCACGATGGCCGCTGCATGCTTCTACATCCGGTTTTCTTTCCAGAAGGGTCGAAGTCATCTGACCAAATTTGCGGGTTCGTCGATCGTCTCCACGAGCACAGAACAGGTTCCATCCCTCGGGTGGCCTGCTGGGCCCCACCACGCTGAGAGGCCTACCACTTGCGGTATCCTCTCGTTCTAAGCTGTCCCCGCACGCATGCTGGTCTGCACGTGTGGGTGGGTATGCACACGTGCACTCGCGGCCACCTCCGCCTCCACCTCTGGCGCCTGCCTCCCTGCAATACGTTTAAGTCGGGCCCGTCCCTCTACAGGAGGAATATTCAAAATACTCAAAAAATAGTCTGGGGACTATTCCTGGAGTATTTTTTGACCATTTTGGAGTATTTTGGGAGTTTTTTTTTTCTCTTATATTTTTCCTCGAAATCCAACGGTAGGGGGACACGCCCGACTTAACAATACGTCACGTGCGCAGGAGCGGACACAGAACCCGTCGAACATCGGGGCGCTGCCCGTGGTCTCCAAGCTGGAGGACTCGCTCCCTGAGCGCGCGCCCCCGTGGCGTGCTGGCCAGGGTGCGACCCCCCCGCCCACTCCGGTCAGGGGACAAAAAAGTGGAACCCCTTCGTCTTCGGCCCCGCATTCGCCCCCCCCCCCCCCCCCCACCTCCCCCCCAATTTCAGGGTTGGGTTCGGCCTCTCGGAGGCCCTGGGGGCTCCACTTTTTCTGTCCTCTCACGCCTGTGCTGCCAAATGCTTGAGGACAAGTTTGAAATTGGGGGGAGCTGGGGGCGTGGTGTCAAGGGTTCCATTTTTTGTCCATCTACGGTCCTCTCCCCCTTCTACCTGCGCCCTCCATTGCTTCCGGCCACCCCCCCTCTGCGGTTCTCTGTCCCCCCGTGTCTTGACAACTGCGCAAGATGAGTACTTGCTCTCCTCTCTCTTTCCCCACACGACATCCAGGAGATCTCCGGCCCCCCTCCGAGTATTTGTTTTCGTGCACCGGAGTAGGTTCCCGTTGGTTTCTTCCAAAATGTTGCTCCCGCTGAAGCGCTGGCTCCATTTCTGCGCCTCTGGTTGTTCCACATCGTGCTCCTGCTGCAGTGCGGGCGTTTTCGGTCCTTCCAGATAGGCCCCAAAATCTAGAACATGCGCCCCGAAAAACCATCGGAAGTGATTGCACAATCGGTGCCGATTCGTTGATTTCTTCGGCCGCAGAAGCCCCGTTTTTTTCAGGACGTATCAAGCGGGAGCTCCGTGTCTGCTTTGAGAAGGCGATGTTGGAAGCAGAGCCAGCGGGTGCTCTCCACCAGCCCCGCCTTGTGTGGAGTTTTTCGGGAAGCCCGGCCTATTTGGAAGGACCGAAAACGCCCGCGCTGCAGCGGGAGCACGTTTTGAAGCAACCAGAGGCGCAGAAAGGGGGCCAGCGCTGCAGTGGGAGCAACATGTTGAAGGACCGAGAAGAATCAGATTGCCAAAAACACGCGAATGCCAGGAAATGAGGCCAGCGCTGCAGCAGGAGCACGATTCGGAACAGCCGGAAGCGCAGAAATGAGGCCAGCGCTGCAGCGGAAACGCGATTCGGAACGAGCGGGAAGGCCGAAAATGAGGCCAGCGCTTCAGCGGGAACATGAAAATTATCTTGGCGACGGACCCAACCATATGCAGTTGTGGGTACCGCATTTGTAAATATTTTCTTCGGTGGAGCTCCCTATGGGGCCACGAAGCGCTGCACTGTGTGGGGGGGAACGCATGCGGGCGGCAGAACTGGGGCCGTCGGGCGAACTCCCTATGGGGCCACGAAGCGCTGTACTGGGTGGGGGGGACGCATGCGGACGGTAGCACTGGGACCTTCGGTGGGGCTCCCTACGGGGCCACGAAGCGTGTGAGGGGTATGCAGAAACGGGTGATGATGATGATGATGATGATGATGATGATGATGATGATGCTGATGATGCTGCTGATGATGCTGATGCTGCTGATGATGCTGCTGCTGCTGATGATGATGATGATGATGGTGATGGTGATGGTGATGGTGATGGTGATGGTGATGATGATGATGATGATGATGATGATGATGATGATGATGATGATGATGATATGATGATGATGCTGACGCTGATGATGATGATGCTGATGATGATGATGATGATGATGATGATGCTGATATGATGATGATGATGATGATGATGATGATGATGATGATGATGATGATGATGGTGATGGTGATGGTGATGGTGATGGTGATGGTGATGGTGATGGTGATGGTGATGGTGATGGTGATGGTGATGGTGATGGTGATGGTGATGGTGATGGTGATGATGATGGTGATGGTGATGGAGGAGGGAGAAGGGGGAGGAGGAGAGGAGAGGAGAGGAGGAGGAGAACGCGGGGCGACCGTACTGGGTGGGGTGAAAATGCCGAATTTGGTGTGCGGGACGCATGCGGGCGGTCCCACTGGTGGCTTCGGTGGAGCTTCCAATGGGGCCACGAAACATATGAGAGGTGTGCCACATTTGGCTTCCAGGACGCATGCGGACGGTCCCACTGGGGGCTTCGGTGGAGCTCCCTATGGGGCCACGAAGCGCTGCACGGGGTGGGGGGGAACGCATGCGGGCGGCAGAACTGGGGCCGCCGGGCGAACTCCTATGGGGCCACGAAGCGCCGTACTGGGTGGGGAGAAAATGCAAAACCTGGTGTGTGGGACGCATGCGGACGGTCCCAGTGGTGGCTTCGGTGGAGATCCCCATGGGGCCACGAAACGTATGAGGGGTGTGCTAAATTTGGTTTCCGGGAAGCATGCGGACGGTCCCGCTGGGGGCTTCGGCGGAGCTTCCTATGGGGCCACGAAGCATGGTGCTGGGTGGGTGAAAATGCCAAATTGGGCTTCCGAGACGCATGCGGACGGTCCCCTTGGGGGCTTCGGTGGAGCTCTCTACGGGGTCACGAAACGCCGTAGTGGGTGGTGTGAAAATACCAAAATTGTGTTTCAGGGACGCATGCGGACAGTCCCACTGGGGGCTTCGGTGGGGCTCTCTATGGGGCAACGAAACGCCGTACTGGGCGGGGTGAAAATGCCAAATTCGATTTCCGGGATGCATGCGGACAGTCCCAGGGGCTTCGTTGGGGCTCTCTATGGGGCCACGAAGCGCTGTACAGGGGGGGGCGCATGCAGACGGTAGCACTGGGACCTTCGGTGGGGCTCCCTATGGGGCACGAAACGCTGTGTTGGGTGTGGGGGACGCATGCGAACGGTAGCGCTGGGATCTTCGGTGGGGCTCCTTGCGGGGCCACGGAACGCTGTACTGGGCGTGGGGGACGCATGCGGACGGTAGCACTGGGACTTTTGGTGGGGCTCCCTATGGGGCCACGAAGCGCTGTACCGGGTGGGGGGGACGCATGCGGACGGTAGCACTGGGACCTTCGGTGGGGCTCCCTATGAGGCCACGAAACGCTGTACTGGGTTGGGGGGACGCATGCGGACGGTAGCACTGGGACCTTCGGTGGGGCTCCCTATGGGGCCACGAAGCGCTGTACTGGGTGGGGGGGACGCATACTGACGGTAGCACTGGGACCTTCGGTGGGGCTCCCTATGGGAAGCTGTACTGGGTGGGGGGACGCATGCGGACGGTAGCACTGGGACCTTCGGTGGGGCTCCCTATGGGGCCACGAAGCGCTGTACCGGGTGGGGGGGACGCATGCGGACGGTAGCACTGGGACCTTCGGTGGGGCTCCCTATGGGGCCACAAGCGCTGCACTGGGTGGGGGGGACGCATTCGGACGGTAGCACTGGGACCTTCGGTGGGGCTCCCTATGGGGCCACGAAGCGTGTGACGGGGTATGCTGAAACGGGTGATGATGATGATGATGATGATGATGATGATGATGATGATGATGATGATGATGATGATGATGATGATGATGATGATGATGATGATGATGATGATGATGATGATGATGATGCTGATGATGATGATGATGATGATGGTGATGGTGATGGTGATGGTGATGGTGATGGTGATGGTGATGGTGATGGTGATGGTGATGGTGATGGTGATGGTGATGGTGATGGTGATGGTGATGATGGTGATGGAGGAGGGAGAAGGGGGAGGAGGAGAGGAGAGGAGAGGAGAGGAGAGGAGGAGGAGAACGCGGGGCGACGACTCTTCAAAACGAGGACCCAACACCACAGGATGGTTGGGAACAACTACGCGGAAACCCAGTTCCCGGGACTCTGATGTGTAAAGAAACAATGCGCGGAGGGGTGCCGAATATCTTCTGGACGACGGAGTGGAGGACCCTCAGGGGGAGAAATGGGGGAGGGGAATCTAAGCGCGCGAAGCGCGTGCGTGGTTAGAGTATTACGTATAGTGTGTGGCTTCGGAACATTTCGCCACCGTGCCCTGGTTGTAGATCAGAGGCCTCTTGGATGCCTGCGGGCATCTTCCGGGAGGCCTCTCGAAAGTCTTCTGGATGCGGTTTGGGGGGCCTCTTGGGGGGCCTCTAGGGCCTAATTTGGTCCTCTTGGGGGCCTCCTGGAGCTTCTGGAGGGCTTCTTGGAGGCCTGCTGGCGGTCTCGGAAGTCCTCTTGGGGTGGAGGGATCGTGACGCCGTTTCGTGTTTCCCCTTTCTGGAGCTGTTCTTGGGCCCCTCTTGGGGTCCTCCTGGGCCTCTTCGGGGGGCCTCTTGGGCCGTCTGGGAGCTCTCTTGGGTCGTCTGGGCTTCCTCTTAGGGGGCCTCTCAGGTCGTTTTGGTAATCTTGGGGTATTGTGGGCCGTCTTCGAGCGTCGGAAATTTGAACAGGCTAGAACGTGAAACTTGTTTGACCACCGAAGGAACATTCCCATATGATGTCGGCCTCTCGGGGCCCTTTTGTAAGTGCTCTCGGAACACTCTTGGGCGTCTTTGGCCGTCTAGGGGCCATCTCGTTCTTAGAGCGATACTGTGGTGACTCTAGGCCCTCTTGGACCGTCTTGGACCGTCTTGCGGCCCTCTTGGCCCGTTTTTGGGTTCCCCTTGGTTAGGAACAAGTCGTGCTACAGCGCGCGGCACGCCCCGAGAGGCACGCGACGCACCCCGAGACATCTGGCAATTTGGGATCGGGCCCCTTAAGATCGATTCACTCAGGATTCTGAATTGAGAACGCCAATGGACCTGAGGACATTCCTGGACTTGCCTTTTTTGTTTAATTTATTAGGGGCTTCGCGTCACTGGCGCGTCGACAGAGTACCTCTTTGCAGCCTTTACCTGAGGACAATCCAACGCGTGCCTCAGGGCATGGTGGCGAATGGATGCAAGGTTCGCCCACACTGGAAGTCGCAGCGTGGTTGTGTGGCGGGGTGCCTGCCGTCACCTTTTGGCGCAGCCTATTGACTGAATTATGTCAGGTGGAATCACATGGAAGTCCGATTTGGTGGAGTGGTACGGTGTTTGACGCAGCATGAAGGCGCAACTCATGAAATTCAGACTCACGTCTGAATCGCGATTCGGTCTTGAGACGCGGTGTCTGCATCAACCAATGGCGCAAACCATGGAATGCGAATTCAAATGGCAATCGCGATCTGGTTGTGTGTCGCGGCGTTTTCCGCAATCCATTGCTGCAACACGCGGAAGGAGGTCCTACCCCGGAAATCACGGGCCGGTGCCCGCCGCAGTATTTGGCGCAATGTCTGGAAGGTAGGTTCACCAAGGAACTCGCGATCGATCTTTTTACGTGACGGAGTGTCTGCCGCAACCTATGCGCGGCTTACGCCGCAACCGATGGGAGGGTGCGGTCCTGAGATTCACATTCGGGTGGCGTGGCGGTGTTTGCCGCAATCTATGATACAACCCATGGAAGGTAAACTCGCATGTGGAATGTTGATTCGGCTTTGTGACGGGGTGTCTTCCGCAAGCTAATAGCGCGACACTTGGCGCGGCCAATGGAAGGTTTTGCTCACCGAGAGATAGCTATTTGGTCATGTGAAGCTGTGTCTGCCGCAATTAGAACCTACAGAAGGTGGACTCACATCGCGATTGGGTTGTGTGGCGTGGTGCCTGCCGCAGCCTGTGGCGCAACCTGGTACATCGCGTGTTGGTTATCTGGCGCATGTATACTACCATTGATGAACATCACATCGGGGAACCCAAGACGATACGATGTATGGTATGGCGGATTGGGGTGGTGCAACCTATGGCGGAAGAAGATTGGGGAGTTCTGGCGCGGTGGAATCTATGGATGCGTTGTGTGTAGCTTACTTTCTGGACTGTCCAGCCTAGGCCTAGTCTGTACGCTCTGGGGCACGGTCTCGTCCTTGAGCCTGACTCAGGAAAAAGGGAGCTCTCCCCTTGCGAACGAAGCGTTTGGGGCATCGGGCTGCGATTCCCGTGCGGGGCGCGCGAGAGCAGGACTTGGACCTCTTCTACGCCGAGGAGTGGCGGCCGCTGCCGCTTGTCTGTGCTGCGGATGATGATGCTGATGATGATGATGATGATGTTGATGGTGATGAACGTTACGATGCTGATGTTGCTGCTGATGATGATGATGATGACGAGGATCATGCTGATGATGATGATGGTGATGCTGATGCTGATGCTGGTGATGGTGACGATGACGATGCCGAGCTTATGATGATGCGGATGATGATGATGATGATGATGATGATGATGATGATGATGCTGTTGATGGTGATGATGATGATGATGACGCCGATGTTGATGATATTGAAGCTGCCGATGCTGATGCTGATGATTCATCAATGCATCAAGGATGATGATGATGGTGATTACGATGACGTAGGTGACGATTATGTTGGCGATGCTGATGATGCTGATGACGATGATGATGAGGATGCTGGTGATGATGTCGATGATGGTGATGATGATGGTGATGATGCTGACGATGCTGATGATGATGCTAATGGTGGTGGTAGTGGTGATGAAGATGCATATGAATATGAACATGATGACGATTCTGATTATGAGGCTGATGATGATGTTGATGATGGTGAGGATTATGATGATGAGGATGATGATGATGCTGATGCTGATGCTGCTGCTGCTGCTGATGATGATGATGATGATGGTGGTGGTGGTGGTGAAGAAGAAGACGCTCCGCGAGACCGCGGGTCCTGCCTCGGGCGACGGCAGCGGCATGCGGCCGCGCCCCCACGCGCTCACGAGCATGGCGTCCCCCTCAGCGGAGCGACGTCGAGCTCCACGACCAGGTAGCCGTCGGAGTCGACGGCGTCGTGCGATTCCTCGAGTTCTCGAACTCGCTGTGCTTGCTCGACTTCTCCCTTTCGTGGCCTACCCCCTCGCCACGCAGGGGAGCGGTCCAGCCGTCCGTGTCCAGCGGGCTCTCGTCCTCGCCGAGCTGGTGGAACGGGTCGTCCTCGTCGTCCATTGTCGTGCGAGTCCACTTGGCCACTGGAGCTGGTGTCGTCGTTCGCGAACTTGCAGCCATTGCGCCCACTGTCTCCACCACAGGCCCAACCCCTCGCCTGGCAGGGGACCTGGCCGCGGTCATGCCGCGGCTCTCGTACGTTTCAGGCCTAACCCCTCGCCTGGCAGGGGATTCTGCACCGTGCTCATCATGCCCACGATCTTCCCGCATCGGTGAGGCCCCCTGACCGCACCCCTCGCTGTGTTCGTAGCTCTGGCGATCCCCGCGGTCGGGCGAACCAACCTTCCCGCGCCAGGTGCAGCTGCCGCTGGCACCTGGGGCCTTGTGAGCCGTCTCGTCGGGGCCCGAGCCCCTGTCTTCCGCTGCGCCATGCGCTCTGGGCCAGTCAGGAGCTTCCACCGTGCTGCTGGGGTCTGTCACGCCCCCTCCTGCAGAAGATCCTCTCGCACGGCTTCCTGCCGTCATCTCAGGCCTGCCCCCTCGCTTGGCAGGGGTCCAGCCCGTTGCCTCCTCAGGCCTAACCCCTCGCCTGGCAGGGGGTATTTCTTCACCCCGCTGAAGTCCAACAGCCCGCTGATCTGTAATACGAGTCTTGCCGACGATCATCCTCCTCGGAGCAGCGTTCAGGATGCCACTGTTGCCGGTCATGGTGTTGTCGTCGTCAGCCTGGTGCTTCGCCGTTTCCTCCTTTGCGCGGGTCCTTTCATGCAACCTTGCCATGCGCTGCTCGAAGTCATATGGTCCTTCAGGTGCAGGTCCTCGATCAGGTACTGCGGCCACTAGAAACTGTTGCTATTGATGGCCTGGAAGGCTGGCAACGATGTGCTTGGCTAGCTTCTTATGCGACCCGATGTCTTCCGCAAGTTCATGAGTACTCCACGTCCCTTGTTCGCTGGCCAAGTACATTGCACACGTAACTTGAACTTGAAGCGCTGTTGGGCCCACGCACCACATCGCATGCACACGAATACTTTGGCTTTGCACGTCATGTCGTTCAGATCGCCCTTCTGATGACCGCCACTAACCAACCGGGTTGACGAGGTACTCCTTTCGGATTGCTGGTGTACCGCTGCAGCCATTGACCTCGTCGTTGCCACTGCTTGTGCATTCGCAGACATCCACGACGCTGTCGTCCGAGCTCTGTGTCGTGCCAGTCATGCCAGTTGCCAGCTCTGATGCTCTTGACCTTCTTGTATCCCGTGGTGTTCCTCTGCCATCGCTCCTCTTCTTGATCAGGGAGCGGCAGCACGTTATCGATTAGCGTTGCCAAGCCACTGCAGTAATTAGCCATCTCGTACATTCGCTTCTGGACATCAGCATGCACCTCAGTGTGCCTTCGGGCGCCCATCCCCGCGACGTGGGCAGCTGCGACGTTGGCGTTCGTCATTCGCTTTGTGTGCTCGCCCAGACCAGCATGATCCTCTCCAGGTATGTTTGCCTTCACGTGTTTGACATTTACTAGTTGCGCAAAACCAGGCGTACGTTGTGCGAATGCGAAGACTCCACCATACATCTGGTTGACATATACTCGTTGACGTTGATCCACCGACTTGTTGAAAGCATGGATGGTGCCCTCAAAATCGGCGTTCATTACTGATATCATATCCGTGATCTGCCCCGAAATTGCAGAGGCCAGGTACTCCGCCATCGCCGACGCCTGAGGCAGACTTGCAGGGACTGGAGCGCCCATCTCCCTGGACAGCTCCGTTCCTTCAGGATCCAGAAGTGCCGTGACCCATCTTGCTCTCTGCAGTTCCAGGAGGAGAGGCTCGGAACAGCAGCCGTCGATCCCGAATTCGGCCCTTTCAGCTCCGTTGGCCGCCACCGACTTCACCATCTCCGCAGGGCCCTCAGCTACATCCTCGCCACCGCTGTCCACGATGCACACCTGGATGCCGAGGTCCATCTTCGCAATCTCCCCCTGAACGTGAAGCCGTCCCTCAGCACGTGCTCGTCGTCACCTGCCTCACGCACTGCTTGGAGAACTGCTTCATCCACTTCAGCCTCCTGACGTGCAGCCACGGCTTCAGGATGCATGCACTCCTCCAACTTGTACGCCAGGGTATCCTCCTGTTCGCATTTGCACTTGCCATCCGTGATGTAGCCTCCTTGCGCTGACCCTCATTCGCGTCCATGCCCCATCGCATGCGCAGCTCATGATGCAGAACTTCTGACGCCTGGAGTCTCTCCTGCTTACTGGTCTGACTGCCTGTCCCAGGAAGGTAAAGGACACTCGCAACCCAGGATCGCCATACCAATTAGCCCCCAGTGCCAGCTCATGGTGACGAGGTAGGCCTGGAGTAAGGAGCACCTCCAGCATGAGTGGCGTCATCTGCGTCATGTCCATCAGGCCGACCCTGTGGTTCCGCCATGATGTGCCACAGATCACTTGCCAATCCGCACGTTGTACACTGACCGCCGCCCTTTGAAGCGGACCCCTCGCATGGTTTCATTTCTCCACCAATCCCGGTATACTCACCGCCTGCTACTACCAGACTTGTAGTTCGTCCATGTCGACCGTAGTCGCATGATGGCAGTGCATTGCGGTCCAACACATTCGGCACCATTGCAGGGCGGGGGCTAGTGCTTCTCGTGCTGCAAGGTCCCCGAGCAGGACCACCTTGGCCGACGCCGAGATACCCCCATGATAGGGCTTCTCCTGGCGCCGGCACGTCTTCATGAACTTCTCCACCTCTGCGTTGCTCATGCCGCTCTCCTCCTCGCCGAATGCGAGCGCGCGAGGCGCTGGCTTGGCCCCCGCATTGTGGATGCGTGCAGTACGTTCACAGGCCTTCGTCGGGATCGCCCTCCGAAGCCTGTCCGGCTTCCTCCGCCCGTTCTGGTGCCGCTCTGCTCGAGCCCTGGTCTTGGCCCGAGCCCTCGGCGCCGCCCGTCTCGCCCTGCCGCGAAGGCGGTCCCCAGAAAGCTCGTAGTATGCTTGATGGCGCCTTGCTTGATGATGGTCCAACCTATTTTGGCCTTGACCACCAGAAAGAATTTCGAGTACCAGAAAAGTACCGAAGCTTGAGGGTTTCACGTGTCGGGCCCTGGGAGGCGACACTCATTCGACGCTGTTTCGACACTTTTCTGGGTGCTCGAAATTATTTCTGGGATGTGGTCCTTAGTGCGATGGGAGCAACAGAAGCCTTGCTCCAACTTCAGCTGCGTCGCGATTTGCTGTCTGATGTCGGCTGAGCTGCTGACGACGGCAAACTTGTCGTTGATGCTCGCTCCTAGCTTGGCAGAACCACCTCCTGAAGGCCGCGCCCAGCGCGCACTGCTCTGTTTTACGACCTCCTTGGTAAGCCCTTCGACTCCAATGCCTGCGTTCTCTACATACAGGGCGTTAAAACAAAAACTAGGACGGCATGCCCGGGCTCAGTTTCGCGGGCCTACTCTAAAATCAAAGTTTTAAAACTCCTTGTTTTGTTTCATGCCCTGCCGTCATCGCGCGAGTGGTACTCGAAAACCTAGTTTAAAAGATGGTCACGGTTATCTTTCCCCAGATTGTCCTCCAGATTGTCCTCCAGATCTTCACCCAGATCTTCCCCCAGATGTTGCCCTTGATCTCCCCGCAGATCTTCACACAGATCTCCTCCCAGATCGTCACGCAGATCTTGAGGTCTTCCTCCAGATCGTTATTCTGATCTTCTCTTCCTTTTCCCCCAAAAGTCCCCCTCCCGGATCTTCACCCAGATCTTCGCCCAAATTCCCTCCTAGATCTTCACCCAGATCTTCCCTCAGATCCTCGCCCAGATCTCCCCCCAGATCTCCCCCCAGATCTTCCTCCAGATCTCCTCCCTGATCTTTCCCCAGATCTTCCTCCAGATCTTCCCCCAGATCTTCCCCTAGACCTTTTCCCACAGATCTTCCTCCAGATCTTTCCCCAGATCGTCCCCCAGATCTTCGCTTAGATGTTTTCGCCCAGATCTCCCCCCAGACCTTCCCCCAGATCTTCCCCCCAGATCTTCCCCCAGATCTTTATCCAGATCGCCGCGTAGATCTCCCACCAGATCTTCCACCAGATCT